TTTCCCAGTCTTGGATGTCCTTTGCTCCGGCCCAGCTGAATTGTTTGAGGACTTCTCTGTTATTTTCTCACTTTACTATATAATCCAAAAATTGTTTGTTGGAACTTATTTATTTATTCATTTCCACCACAAACATCAATGGAAGAGGAGTTGTTTAAAACCTATAAAGCACGGACTTGCCCGATACAGGGGAGGACGATCGATTTTCGCGCAAAATGCAAAAGAGAAATCCTAGTATTTTGTCACCCTATGCATACATGAAGCTAGGAGGCTCAGCTAGAAAATCAAACCAACCATTTTTATCCACAGCAAACACACATCAAACACCAAGTATCTAAATGAACTTATATCACAACATAAATCACTCTGTAATCACTGTACATGGCTGCAGTTATTGCCTTCCAGATATCTCTCATCTCATCCGACAGCGCAGTCCGACCACTCTAAAGAAAGCTCAGCTCCAGCTCTGATCGGCTGTGTAACTCATATCACTCAAATCACCAACCTCACAGAGTTATTAGCAGGATAACAACAACAAACGCACCATTATACATTTACAATATAACCTCTGACCTACTTTTGTCATTTTAGCTGTTTTTTGTGTAAAAATAACTGCGGACCACCATCTTGGTATCGCACAATCCCTTGGAGCTCTTAGGTTTCGTTTCTCGCCAGAAAAAACGATGTATGAGAAGATATTCAGTTGCCTTCTAACGAGTTGGATGATGGTTTTGATGGTGATATTACATCTGCATTTACTCTTTAATAGCAAAATAGATTTATTTACAGTTGATTCATATTCCTTAGTTTCTGACCTATCAAAGGAGACCAGAATTAAAAATAAATGTTCTTGCTCTTCTGTCCAATAAACAAGCTCCTTCTGGACCATGTGACTTATCTACGAGTTTGAGATCGCCAGGCTGGATTACCAATTAGGGAACTATCCCAGGTTGCGAGACACACAGGGGCTCCAAGGGCCCCGCGTTCACAGTGTGTCAGCTGAGGTGCTTTGTGAGCACATGCCGCCGCACACTACACGCTGCTGACATCCACCTGCTCTCATCACACAGCTAAACTGGACAGGTTGTATCTGCACATAGAGGAAATGGTTAGCGATATACCACAGACGAATATAACAAGTCATAAAGGTTCTTTATTTTCCTAGACCTGATTCTTATACTATGAAGCTGATGTTGCTGCATTGATCTGCCAGTTCCTGCTGGTGAAGAGGTGAATCATTCAGGAAACTCAGATACCAGTAAAACCATCTCCTGTGTCTTCCCTCTACCCTCTTTGTAGTTTCTGTGGTTTTCAAGATTACACATCGATCCACGGTCATAAATTGAAAAAGACGGCAGCGATAAAAGACCCGTGCACATTCAGGAGGGCAGCAGGTGCCCTCTGCGTCCACAATGAAAACAATGGAGGCTGCAGAAACCGCTCGCTGGCTGTCTGACAGCACGTTGAGTTAGTGGTCTTTTGATTATCTGCACATTTGTTTTTGGAGTATTCACCTCTGATGCACAATATCTGCAGAAATGATAAAAAGCCTTAAGACGGGTCCTACCTGAATATGGCCAACATGGTCGCTGATGATGTTCAGGAGCCATGTGAGGAGATCCCCAAAAAGGAAAATAAATATCTAAAATCTAAAATTATTCTCACGACTCAAATCAAAAGCCACAAAATGACACATCCCGAGCATGTGGAGGACAGAGCTGATCCCACTCACAGATAAACATGTGGAGAAAATTTACGAGTGACCTTAATGGGCGACAATCCTCACAAGAGCTGAACAGAATGTCAATAACTGACGATCATTGTTTGTCCGCTTTGGGACAAACTAAAAACTACAGTGAGCAGCTGTTTCAGGAAACAAATGGCTTTTTATTAAACATGAATCTAAATATTTGTGAGGTGTTTTTACAGATTTACGTCTCAAGTAGGAACCAACTGTGAGAGCCACAGACAGGCAGACTGACAGACTATTGGTTTGGTCTGCACAAAAACAAAAACTAGCCTTTTCCTATAAGTTAGCTGTGTTGGTTGCAGCCTCCATGTGTCACATCATCTTCACCCACGGCACGACGTCCTTTGCCCACATTTGAATTTTCTGGCAACAGCAACTGAGAAAGACGGCAGCAAGTTGTAAACACAAACTCCAGGCTTCAAATCATCCTCTCAGGAATTCACAGCTGACGTCAGAAATGCTATAACCTTCCTCTCCACACGTGTTTTACAGCACAGTCATAATACCAGTGAATAATGGTTTGCTGTTAATGCTTGATGCTTCTCCAGGGCTGTATTTTCCCTTAAAACCTTGAACACAGCAGCCTGCTGCTTCCAACAAAGTGCCACAAGCCATTTTGTTCGGTTTCTCCTGCAACTGTAAAAGCCTTCCTTTCTTCTGCTTTCTGAGCAACAACAGTTTTGAAAGCAGTGCAGTCAATTATCTGGTGTCAAGCCTCAGTACAGCACAGCGAGGCTAGTGCTGTGCGTGGAGCAGCCAGTGTCTGAATTAGACTCTCCGTGCTACAACAAAAAAAATCAAGGTATTTGGTTTGGTTAGTGACTTGGAACATTTTCATTTGCCTCTGCAGAATATTTGCATTATGCTCCAGTGTGTCGGGCGTCTGTAGGAGAGCAGAGATCAGGATCGCGGCGCACTCATCTGGGAGGAAAATGCTCCGTTTCTCAATGCAAACAATGTGAGCAGCACAAGAAAAGGCAATTCAGGGGTTCATTAATAAAACATGACTGAGGCGGGTTATTCCAGACACTCCAGAGTGACAGCTACACTCATTTACACAACTGCTGTTTTTATCTTTTAAATATTTAATAAAAGCTAAAGAGGAATAACGCTATAATAAATGTATGAATATTAGATATTAATGCAGGATGCAAACATAATGCATGGACTATAATCCCTGTCAGAATAAAATGCATGAATATCAAAGAGAGAGGCCTATAAAAGCTCACAGTGTGTACATTGGAGATCAATGATGTCTTTTGGGAATAAGAACAATTTACATTTAGGATTTAAAGGCACATACAGTATCAGTGTTTAATTGTGCAGAATATTTGTGACACGTATTGCCCTTACATGATGAAAAATTAAGACAATAATGAAGAAATGCAACATTATATACAATTACCACATTGCATTTTATTGTGGCCAGCCTGAGGCACAACCTGTGCAATAGCCATGCTGTCTGATCAGCATCTTGATATGCCACACCTGTGAGGTGGATGGATTATCTCGGCAAAGGAGAAGTGCTCACTAACACAACAACTTTTATAGAGTGTATATATGTGTTCTCTATTCTGTAGCCTGTGTCTGATTTTTATTATTCCTCCCACAGTAAAATTCCTCGTATGTGTACACTGACCTGGCAATAAAGCTGATTCGGATTCTGATTCTTTAATATTTTTATTTTTGACTGTTGTGCACAACAACACAAAGGCACATTCCTTGTATGTAAAAATTACAATAAACCTGCTTCTGATACTTACTCTGATACCAGCAGAACATGGTTAGAAAACAGCTGCAAAACCGTTGAATAAATTAAGGAAAATATCCAATTGATGTTGCTCACTGTTAGCAAACACAGTGTTTAAAGCCTCCGTACAACAAGCAGCACACAGGCACAGTTAGAGACTAGCTGGTGAAACTGCGGCAACTTGAGCCACCGAATGCAAAACCGTGGTCAAGCCAGACGCCATCTGATTTTTGTTGCGCCCAAACTAGTGTTCTTATTGTACGAAGCGAGGCAAATGTGCTGAAAGACTCATGTACGGTCCTTCATGCCTTAAATCACAGTTGCATTTTTATGACGTTTCACCAAACTAATTCTTCAATAGGTTAGTTCACTATTATCATGGCTTCTGCTTCCTTATGAGTTCTTCTATCAGAGGCACACATTTGGTAACATTTTACTGCAGCAGCTTAGAGAAATCACTCTTTATATGACTGTGTATTTTTTGCTGTTGGGGTGGATATTAGAGTGTGACTTTTTCGCCTCGCTCACAGCCCGTTCTTACCATAACAACACTACTTCAGGCAAATCAAATGGCAGCTGGCTTGGCCACAGTTTCACATTTTCATTCGCATAGTGGAGCATGTAGCAGCTAAAGAGCCTGACATTTCCCTCAGCACCTGGTGGGGACCAAACACAGAGCTAACAGAGAGAGAAAACTGGACTCATCATTCATCAGGTGACACAAAAACCCCCCAGTGGTCAAATAAAGTCAGTCTTCACACTGCCCTTAATCAAAAGTATGGGAGAACATGATTGTTTAACCTATCAGTTACTTTTCAAGTTAATTGTCTGATTTATTTTTGAAATTTTAAATGCAAAACTATAATCACAAATCCCTGATACATGTTCCTGCAGTCACATATTTTAATCATTATGTATTCTTTTTTTTGTATTTTCATTGCTGTCTCATAATGTAAAGAGTTCAGTTTGTAATGAACAAACATTCAAACAGCTGCAATGTCATAATAGACTGATCCCTATTGGAATATATATCGATGCTACATTTGATTAAAAGGCATTCTTAAGTCCCAATACTCCTGTTATAGGTAATAGTGATTTTTTTCGCCAACAATGAAGAATGCACTTTCTGTCATCTTTCAGCCAGCTGGAAACTGATGATGGAGCACAAACAGTCCAATAAGCATTGGAGACATATGACAGCACATTAAAGCCACTATAATTAAACCCATCCGATGTTTTATTAGATGCAAAGGTCACTATTAACGCTGCACTGAGCACCACAGGCGCTAAAACTCTTGAATATTAGTACGCATATAGGAGATAAATAAAGCGCCGCACAGATGCCTTACGTCCCGTGAACATTGCAGTCACAACACTGACTTCTCAGGCAGCACAAAACCATGAAAGTGGTTATTTTAAAAGGTGCATGGCGCGCACACACAGCAGACGCATCACCACAGCAGAGCACGCACAGCCACGCAGCAGCAGCAGTTTTCTTACCTGTGCAGTCCTTCCCTTTGCCTTTGCACTCTCCGCTCTGTGGGCTATAGGACGCCCGAGCCTCCGGCAGGTAGAGCAGCAGAGACAGCAGGCAGGCGGACGCCAGGTACCGGACAACCCCGCCGGGACGCCCGGAACACCTTCCAGGGCCTGACACCATGGTGATCCAATCTCCAGAGACAGGCGGACAAATCACTCGGTACTCGATACAGTTTAAAAGGCGTGCAAACAATTGAGCGTAATCCCGGGTGAAGCAGTCAGAGACGCAAAAGATAGCCTAACACCCCGGCTGCCTCACGCTGTGTCCCGCTGACAGGACAGCGCCAAAGGCTGGAGAGAAAGCAGCAGAGAGAGCGCAGAAGTCTGTGGTGAAGATGGAGGAATGTGCAGGGAGCTCCTCGCCTGATTCCGCGTTCAGGAAGCCTCGGAGGCGGTCCGGTGTGTCCAGAGAGGAAGCAGAGGAGGCAGCGGCAGCATTCTCGCCATCAGTCCGTCCTCCGCACCCGAAGCTCCGCGTCCTTTGAGGTATATTGATGTAATTCAGCGTATATCTGCGGGATGTCGCGCACGTAGCGACTCTGCACGTCCCGGTTCCCAGTCGCTCCGGCTGTGTCTGTCCGCGCGGCGGTGAAGCGGTACACGGCTCCGGCTGGAGCGGAGACGCGGTGCGTAAAGAGAGCAGCAGCTGCAACCACAACAAAGAGATCCGGACTGAGGAGAGGACAGACAGGCTGGTCACGTGAGAGGATGCAACACTCCCCTCCACCTCCACGCCCCTAACGCACGCGCGCACGCACGCACGCACACCTTAAACACAAACGCAGCCCACAGAATGCAGAAAGGCCCCAGTAAATACTCCATCACTGCAGCGAACAACAGAGCAGGCGTCCAGTCAGAAATCACATCTCTGAAAAAATGTATAATTGATAGATAATTTCAGTTTTCCAGCTGATCATCAGCATCACGGAAGACTTCATCTGATCTAAGAGCTGAAATCAAGTTCACAGCTGGGCACCAGCAGCAGATATAAGAGTGAACAGTTCTAGTTTAACATCCAAAAGTGTTTTATCAACATGTCTGTGATGAAGTAAAGATGTGTGTGACTTCTGTTTTGTACTGCCTCACCAGAAAGTAATCAGCCATGATGTTAAACTGACTAAGAATATTTTGATAAATGTCACTTCCACAAGACAGTAAACCTGACATGCCAAGAACGTTTGATGCATGTTGGCCATTTGTAAGTTATGAGCTTTATTAAGGTGTTACATGAAACAGCTCCACTGTGGAGGCTAAGTTAGACTTCTGCTGGCGTTAGCCTCCTCAAAAATGTAAATGTTCTCAAAGTTACATTCAGGTTTTAAATGGATCTATAAGAGCTGGATCGCAGACTCCAAGATACCACCCGTTCATTTGTACTGATATTGCTCAGTGAGCCAAAACAGTTTTCTAGCCTCCTGCTTTGCTTCCACGTTGTCACACCCCCTGCACACATGCAAGATTCTCCCATAGACTTTACTTTGGGATGTCAAGCAAGTAAAAATCTCTTTTCTATGCTCTGGTAAACTTTTTGTAAATTTAAAAACCTTTATGGTTTAAAACCTCATAATACAAAGAGTGATAACTGAGCTTGTTTGCAGTTGGAGGTGTTTCTTTTATAACGGAGGTCTGTAGAGAAAACACTACTATTTGTGCCTCAGGGGATTTTTTAGTTGCAGGATGATCGCTGGGACAAATTGGCAGCAAGGCTGAGTGGTGGCGCCATATCAGCCCTCCATGTTTACTTGTTAGCAGCCTTTACTGTGAAGAAGACGACCTGGCGCATTACCTCCACCTGTACATTAGTGGAAAAATGTGAAAGCGCTGGCAGAACTGTGTGTTTCATCATTCTCGTGCGTTCGAAAAAAGAAACAGGCTCCCATTCATTAAAACCACAGTTTGAAGAAAGTAGGTGACTGAAGAAACACCTCTAACAAACCTCCACTGCAAACCTGCTGCTCACCGCAATCACAGCTCTCTATCACAGTGAGGGAAAAAGCATAACCGCCGCCGCTCGCCAGGCCACGGCCTGATTGCTCACTCAGTGAAATCTGACACTGAGCTGCTTCCTGCATCAAACAGCGACAGTTTAAACGTCCCTGCTCAGGTGTGTGACAGAGTGATGGAGCTAAAAATGGTATTGAGGTGATGTAAGAGCAGCAGTAGAATGTTTCCAGTTCGATCAATAATATCCCCGTCTTGACTTGAAGAAGAAGGTTCTGATCGGTTGGTGAAAGGTTAAAGACTTGCTGTTTCAGAGTTCCTGTTTGAGTTGAGCGTCTCAGACTCCAAACAGGACTCGTTCGCCACTGAGCCATCATGTGGAGTGAGTCCTGAGCTGGTTGTTCAAACAGGACTCAACACGACTCATTAAACTCTCCACGTTGACTGGATTAATATTTACACAGCTCAGATTGGCTCACAGCTCCATTTTAGGCACCGGTGGCACTCCACCAAGACGAACTAGTGGACTAATTTGGCACGCCACCTTTCATCCAGCTGCTGTGAGTTTGTCGTCTCTCCATCACATTTTTTCACACATGGTGGAAGCAGCAGCAGCAGCAGCAGCGGTAGATGTGAGTCCTCTGCGGTGCTGTTGGACATGCTTGGTTCCACGCCGGCGGCTCTAACAGCTCTCCCGGGCGCTATCACCACCTGCCAGACGGCAGAGTGGAGCGGGCCTGTTCTAAATCACTCACAGCACTGCTGATTAGCTTCTTGGACGAGGTTAAGGACCTTCCAGAAGGTGTGGAAGGAGAGGCCGCAGCAGAAATAAAAAAGTCTTCCCTGATTTATTTGACTTCCGAGTGACACTGAGCCAAAAATCAGAGCAGACTTTTTTGGCAAAAAGCTGGCAGTTTAAAATCCCACACATACACCAGGAACCTTCAAATTAATGTCCAAGACACTCTTGAGCAAGGCACTAAACCTGAGCTGCTCAGTGGTTGTACTCGCTGGGTGATGGCATCCTGAAGAGAAACCAAAAAATCCAACTGGTTTTTCATTTGCCAGAATTGGAGGAATGTGCTGCATAAATGTCTTTGCAGTAATGAGGCTGGCTTCGTGCTTAAACCTGCAATAACTGTTTTTAGCACTTTTGTGAATACAGCAGTGACACATCATCATCTTTTCAGCTAATGTGGTGAACTTGTTAGCAGCTCCTTAGGGAAATATCTGGCTCTTTAGAAGCTAAAGGCTCCACTGTGTTCACGAGCCCGTCTCTTAACTGTGTCTGTCTGCTGGTTGGTGTACGGTGGCTGTTTACAGCTTTTATCCTGAAACCAGTGCCATGAGAGTGAACCAGATAAACAATGAGCTGAAAGTCACTATAAAGCTCCGTAAAGTCGAGAAGCTGCAGATTCAGCTGCTAGTTCTCTGTAGCTTCATCACTATCAGAAACACACAAAACTTTGTCACGTTGTTTTCATATTTTGGGGGCATTCTGCCTGTATTGGACAGTGATAGCTATCAAACCCGGGGCCCGGGGTTTGATTGCGACCGGGAAAGGATTCGGCCCCAGTAGCATGCCCTGCACCAGGTGTTACAATAAAAAAGTAGGATTTTAGCTGCTTTAACAAGTGATCTTTTAGTAAGATGACAGTATATTCATGGGAATGCACAATAAGATATCCTAGTATTAAAAAACATTTGATAATATAAAATCAATGAACACCAGTCCATTATTGTCTCATTATTGCAAGTCCATTCTGTAAATGGAAACCTTCAACAAGCTTAAACAGGGCTGCGTCAGAGCTCACTGCAGAATAATAAACTTTATTTATACAGCACTTTTCTACACAAAAGGTTGTTGTGTATCCACAAATATGAAATTGTTAAAAAAAAAAAAAGAACCTTAATTCAGTATCCTAATGTTTAAATATGAGTATGTGTCACAAAGTTGGCACATAAAGACGTATTTGATGGAATTGGTGGGAAAGTGTTTCTAAATGTTTCACTCTGACAGAAAATATAGCAAGAGAAACCATTTTTTGATTATTATTCATTTTATTTCTTTATCTTCACCCATCATACTATTGTTTGTAGTAAAATTGCTGTGTGGTTGCTAAAACGCATTTCTTAATCACCATTATAATAACGCTGTATAAACACTATGTTTTGTGAGAGATATCTTCAGGACAGACAGAATGAATGTAGTTTTACTTTGGCTCATAAAACAAAGTGTAATTGCATAAATACGTTGCAAAGCCAATCAAAGTGTTGATCAAGTGTTTATTGTGATCATTATTTTAAATGTACTCAAAATTATAGAAAATTTGAAAATGTTGTTCAAATCGACTGCATCGACAAAAAATAAGGTACTAATACAGCAATACGTGTTGATGTTTCAGTGACTGTTGGAGAGAGGAGCAAGTGGACTTTCTATTTGGACAGTGCCCTTTCTTGCGGAGAGGGGGTGTTGCAGGAATGAACTATGGTTATATATGATAATTATTCAGATTGGACGTTGATGTCCAGTAAAGGCGAAGTGAAAGTCCGCTCTTGCTGGCAACTCGACCCTTTAGAGATATAAAAAGTTCTCCCTGACGACAGATGTGTGTGTATCTCGCGCACATGTGTGGAGGCGTGAAAAGAGGTGTGAAAACAAGAAGAGGGTCGAGAGTTTTCATCTTTTAAATCTATATCATTATATAGAGTTTATAATAATCTTTAATACATTTTAAAACTTGTTTTTTGAGATAACATGTTTTATATGTTTCCCCTGATGATGTCTGAATAATTGTTTTAATCAGCAGAGAAGGCGGTTTGCTAATCTGATCTCTGAACAGCTGTGAAGAGACAAACATCTTCATTTTGTGACTATGGAAGCAGGGCAGGATTTTCTCTCCTTTTGAAGTCAGAAAGAGGTGAGAAGAACAGAATGAGTGTTGACATGAACTGATTTAATGTATTCTGCATTTGGAGTGATGCATTTAAAACTGGTTGTTTTATTTGTGAATGCAATTAAGATTATGTAAGAGAACGATGTTCATTTAGTTTGTTTGAGAAGTGTGGCCTACTGTATTTGGGCTTTAAACATTTTAAAGATTATACTTACATGAGTTATAGAGACCTGCATGATATGTTTTATTACCTTATTTGGAGAATTGTTTGTGAAGTGAGGCAAAGGGGACAGAGACAGAAGGACCATCTACCCATAAAAGGAAAAGTAATGTAAAAATCAATGTGATGATCAGGTCCTGTTTGAGAAAAGGGTGGGGTCCTCTCTGTCTATTTCTTTATTAAATGTAATATAAAGTAAGCCAAAGAAAACTACAAAGAGTTTTTTGTCTTCGTTTTCTTCCCCCTCTTCTGGACCGGTAAGTTAGTTTTTACTTACTTTAACATCCACACTGCCCACATTAACACACCTCATTACAGATAAGCAGCAAACTGGCCCTTTAAGGAGCTCATTCCAGGTTATGTGTTCAGCGCCCTGCTCTCTGGGATCTAAAGCGAGACAGGACGAGGGGCTGACTAGGGAACTTTTGAATCTGGAGTTAGACATTCAATACAGACGGTCAGGCCAGTACCTAGTGTTGAAACTAACTTGTTATCAGAGTTTTCGCCCTTTTTCCTAAGTGGTATCTGAATTCATAATGCGCTCAAAAGGGTGTCCAGAAATGAAAGAGAAAGAGGTTCCTTGCGGTGGGACCCTTGTCACTACAAGGTAAAAGATACATTTTAACTTAAAGCCAAATCAGACCACGCAGTAAATTAGAGAGTAATTCAAGACAAGCTTAAAACACTAAGGTTGAAAACAACTGGAGGGTAAATAAAAGAGTAAGCTGGACAGTATGTGATTTGAAAA